TATATATATACCCCGACTGCGTGAGCAATAACTTTATATATATATATATATAATTTTTGTATATCTGCTGATTTCTGATCAGGTCGATTTCTTGGGTAAAGCAAGTGACTCTTTAAATGCAGTAGAACCTGGGAAACTCTGGTACTGCTATAACGTTAACATAAACGTACATATTGCAACACTTCTGCCCTTGTCCACGCCATCGTTTCAAAAAACAAAAACTACGTGTAAATAATGCGCGCTCACTTTAGAGCCGGTACGGTCTTCATCTGGTTGGCGCCTTTCCTGTTTTTGGCCCTCTGCCTCGGGATCGTGAACTGAGTTATTTCGTTCATGCCTACATGTCAGGACGAAGCATTGACCACAGTGTAAACAGCCCGAAGCTATAAACTCACACAATCGAGCTATCGTATATTTGTATGCCTAGAAATGCGTATTAATACAAACATACATATGTTCATCGTTAGGCATTATAGGTGAATTTTCGTAGAAGCACTAGCGATAAGCAAACGCCTACATTTTTTTTGAATATAGAGTTCATTACTAACACACGTAATGGAGTTACACTACATTGATCGTAATACGCTTGTGACGGAGTTTTTCGCACGAAAGTTTTTTTAAAAATCAATCAGGATTTGTAAGGTAAGGATTGAGTGAAGATAATGCAATAAATCCATAAATAATATTTATGTCTATATTGAACGCACATCTCTATACTGTTGATTCGTCACCCCATAAATGATCGGGTTGAGACAGGCGCTAAGGTAGACGAGTGTATAGGCTAGCAAGTGCACCCCAGGATACCGGACTCCCCTATCTGCGACCTGTGGAAAGAAATTCCGATAATTCCTGTAAACTGTACCATATTAGCATTGGCTGAAGTTTTTCTTACCCTATTTTATTGCAGAATTGGTCTTTATGTCACTGTAGTGTCTTAAGAACAAAGTGAGCTCATCTTAATAGAACCATTAACTTACTTTATTGTTAAGGTCAACGTAAAGTTACTGCTCAACATGCTGGTCAATGGGGTAGCACTTGTGGATCACAACAAGTTTTGTCACATGAATACCGGTTTCGTTGAAGTCTGAGCTAACCTTTGCCACGGTGATTGGTAGATAGCAGACAAGAAACGAGCAAAAAATAATGAGAACCATTTTTGTAACCTTCCATTCTTCGGCTCTGCGGCGTGCTTCGCGTTCACGACTTTGCTCCGTGGTTCGTGCATGCGAGGTCATTTTCACTTTACTTCGGTGCACGATGAAGAAGATTCGGGCGTAGCAGACGATGATTGTGAAACATGGCACGAGAAAAGCAGATACGAACAGAAAGTACTTTGGCGATCTACCATTCACCTAAAATCGCAAGTTGCACACAATGTATGGCGAAGTAATATTTATTTAGCTTCTGTTGGTTGGTGCTTTTTACCGGAACTGTATTAACATTTTTCGCCTATACGTCAAATACTTATTATCTTTTTTTTTCGACACTGTAATTCTGCTCATATTGCACGTTACAAACTCGATTAATGAGTCTGGAGTATGCCACTTTCAAGCTTATGCACTTTTAAGTACTGGCTTATTTGTAGAAATTTATGGAATGTGTTGAATGTGGAAACACATTGAAAAGAAACAGTTCAGTAGGTAAAACCCGCACTTTCCAGAATAGACAGTCTTGACGGGGCAGGAGCTGTAACAACTCGTGTAATTTCAAGTATAGATCGCAAAAGTAAAATCTAAGTGAACTTTGAATAAAAGGTATTTTAGAAATTTGCTGATACTCTATTGTAATTATCGTCGTAAGGTAATATCTTTGAAAGAGTCACGAATTAAAATGGTAGTACATGTACATTTGTATGTATATATGTATATGTACATGTAGAACTTGTGAGTTAGGATTTAGATGAATTAAAGAATCTCATTATGGAATAATCATAATTAGTTTTTATATTCTATAGAAGATTTAAATGCTTTACACTTGTGTCACCGAATCATATGACCCGATGAATGAGCGAAACCTATGGAGAAGAGAAACAATACTTTCGTATAACAATAGCTAATGTAAAAGAAATATTTCTTAAACGTTTGTTCATAGGGCCTTATAATTCACATTTTCGTAGTAGTCGTTTTCTAAAATTTTCAAACTTTAGATCTGTCTATAGAAGAGATACGTATGTCGGATATCGAACACTTGCCCAACAGGCACCAATAACCATGAGATAAAATCGAAGTAGTTCATCTGATTTCCGATCAATCAGAACACGCACTATTATTTTTACTTCAATAGCATCAGTCTAAATATGGTAGGCCCTCTCTACATCGGAATTCTTTACAGCTTTATCTAACATTTTGAAATAACAGTCTGAAATCAGTTTGGACCAGACTTTTTACATAACGCCGCATTACAAACTTGTAGCATCTCAGTTGTTACGGGTTCAATATAGGTGTCGGAAAAAAATATGGCAACTTTTTTTGGCGTCAAAACCTTAACGATTGACACTCCACATTTATTGAAATGAGAGGTTAATCTTCTGGTTATCGAATCCCACTTTAATTAAAAAGAGGAGGGCTGGAGATGAAAGGCAGAGAGGTGTTACCTATCTTGATAACCTCTAAAACTGAGTAAACATACTAAATATATTGTCTACCTAACCTTATTTTCCGACTATATATTAGTGAGTAATATAGTTTAGGGGATAGGGGTTGCAAGGCAAAAACTAAATCTAGGGTCCTTGACAACTTTTGAACACTATAGAAGACTAACAGATATTTCATAACATACGCGGGCTCCCTAACTCACGTTTATGTATACTTATCCAAGATTCTGTTTTCGCGCTAAACAACTTAAAGTTTTGTGCTTTATGAATCACCTTTATTTTTACGGCTTTATATTCTTGAATATAGAGATTAAAAAATCAAAAGTTGGCTAGTTATAGTGCTCTCTATGCATAACAACTTTACTACCTTGTAGACTTAGATTACAGTAAGGGCTAAAACTGGGCTTTTAGAAGAAGAGTATATAAGTTTCAACTACTTTAAACGCCATCTACGAGAGATGTCCAACAGTGTGCAAGTTTCTATTATTACTATCATCACTACTGCCGACAATAGTACTAACGGAAAACCGATAGCACCAAGACTTAAATCGTTCTCATCAGTTTAGCTTTTACGTAAAGTCTAAGAAATTTTCAATAGATGCCGAATTTTCACGGCAAACCTTTTTAGGCTATAATGGCTCTAAGGATAAAAAGTTCCTTTAGCGGTGTTCTCTGTTTCACTAATTCAACTTCGCTTTTCCGTAGTGCTTGAAAAAATGATGATTCTCTTTGCTTTAGCCGTACATTTTATTGATCTCAGGTTGCATATTAGCCTGCGCGGTAAATTTGTCTTTCTTCAGATTTATTTCCTAATTTTACTTTTAGTAGGATGAAGAGTTAATGGAAAAAAACTAGCCTTATTCGCCCGTTTCTATGGAGGTTCTGTTTTCCGTGTTTTACTTAGGCAGTTAGGCATTATTTCAAAAACTCATAGAGGATCTACTGTTGTTACTGTTAGGATGTCTATCCCTCTAATTTATTCGAGAACATAATTAACCCCGAAGTCGATAGCAGACTAACATCTGAGTTGGATAATTAGGTATTGTTAGAGGCGTTTTTGTTAAAATACATAACGTTTGTTCACATTTAATGATACGTTCAACCACAAATTGATATTAGAATGATAATCATTCATTCATTTATCATTTAAGTTGTTACATTCATAGACTTGCAAGTTTTCATCTATGAGAGAATCACTATATTTTTAATAAATTACCATACCTCAAGAATCGAGCAATTAAGTATGGTGGGGTCGTAGCCAAACGTGCCCCATCGGCCGAACCAAGTGGGGACAAGAACTACAATTGGGAAGATCCATGTAAAACCTGAAATTTGATTGATGCATAGAATAAACAGGTTACATTAATTTAAACACAACGACAGTAAAGTAATAGGTAAGCCATATATTTTCTCAATACTTGTAATCGTAGAATCGTAATTAAAAAAAAAATTTTAATTTATTATATTTATATGAAATTATTTTCATATGTTTATAAATTTATCTGAAAACACAGTTCGTCTTCAAGATCTAATACTACTAAGTCGATGTAATATTAAAAAGGTGTGCCAGGAAGGAAGACTAAAACACAGGAAAGAGAACATAAGTATATATTCTCAATAAGTATTCGCTTTCGAGCGTTTATTACAGCCTCTGTTATTACTTCTGGGTAGTTAGGTCAAAAAGCAGATTAATTTTAACCTATTTTCGTATAAGCTATAATCATGGAGTCCTTTGCTCAAACTGACAAAGGGGTAAATCATTTCAATGAAAGTACCCGTTACTAATTCTAAACTGTACTTTTGAAGAGAGACGCTCCTTGATGCATCCCTCATCTGCTTCTGCCGTTGTTGCTGTTGTTGCTGCTGCTCCTAGTACGCTCCTTGGATGCAGCGTCTGGCCCGCCATTCCGCACGAGCACATTATGCTCGAGTATTTCTCATAGCAGGCGATTTGACCCTTGACTTAAACAGCTGCATAGATGAGTTAAGTTTTAGGATGAAGCTACCTCGCAGGAAGGGGTGAATAAACGTCTCTACTGCACCTATGCATGGGACGAACCATCTAAATACAACTAGACACGTTCAAAGAAAGAACTATTGCCGCTCGCGCCTTTATTGCTGCTAGCAGTGGTGTTGCTGCTGTTAATATGATAACCGAAGCGGCTGGTCGTAGCGTGTCTTCACACGGGTGGGCGAGTCCTTTCTTTGGACCTTCATGCGGAACAGCAGTATAGGCTTTTGTGCGTCTGGAGGCGTGATCTGAATTCCAGCAGGAGACGCCAGCAAAGACCTTCATTACATTCGGGAATGGAACGGGCGTAAAAGGGCGAAGAAGGAGAGGGGAAGCATGCAAGGAAATAACGCAGACAAACACGCATCGTCGTTGGCTTATGCATTGTAGTTATGTTGGCGGGTTTGAGAAGCATAGGGAAGGTTAAGAAGGGATTGGGTTAGGACTGGTCGGACGCCCCGTACAAATCGCTGGGTTGCGGGAAAGAAAGTGCGATGGTATTTGCGTCGAGATCAGAGCATGTCACCTTACTACTATCTTGACAACAGCACTGTGCCACGCCATAGGCACGTGATGCGGCCATTACGCCCGTCCAGCAACCAAGCTAAAATGCACCACGAGGTTGTGAAAGGTGTTGCAGGTGAGGAGGAGAGAATTTGATCGCTGAGACAACACATGAGTAACGCGAGATCTGGCTAAGGTTGTGTCTGATAGAACCTGTTTCTCATCCATTTTTATTGTTTGTTGTTTCCTGCGCGGATCTTCCCCAAGGAAATAGAAACGAGCCTCTAGATGCAATAACACGGTCTTCGGTAAAAGCTCTCTCTCATGGTTTTTCTACTTGTTAAAGGCGCGGCGATGTTCAACAAGAGAAACGAATGTATTTTTCAGGGACTAAAAAGCCGTTTCACTCCAGCAGGCAATATGCCCACGGATGCATTAGCTAGTGCCACTACAGTAATTAATAACAGTTTTTAAAATAAGATACTTCACTGTTAACTCAATCTGTCTAAAAATATCTAACATTGACAAAGATTGAACGTTAAGAATCCTATAATAAAGAAAAACCTAGTAAGATAATGCCTCCTTAATAGCGTTAGTAATAGTTTCAAGATAATACAATGCGTAGGTATGTTAGGGAGTAATGCCCAATATGCCCTACAGAATGCCGAATCGGTATTCCACGAAGCATATTGTACTACATATATTAATAGTCATCGTTCATAGTGAAGTATTTTTCTGTATGTATATTTTCTTGTATTGGAGTACTTTTGATGGCGTAAATCTATTTTTTGACCTAATTGAGGGAACGGGACCATCTACAGAAAAAATGGCCCCATTCTACATTGTATCTTTTCGTATGTAAACCTATATGCACACACATTGAGAAGATGGTTAAGATAAGAAAAAGGGCGCTTGTGTAAAATACGCAAGCAGTTCGGACCCCGCTACAAATCCACAAAGGCGTCAAGAGTGTGCTACAAACAAGGCTCCTGTTGTGTGGCAGCTTTAAACACCGACCCAAAAAATTTACACGGAAACATGTTGCGCATAGCTTAAAAGTGTCTACGGATCCTATACGAGTCTATAATTAAGGCTTGTATGTTTAAGCAGGAAGAAAAGCTCGTTATCTCAGGCCTTTTAGATAAAAAATTATCCGCGCTCATCGTTACATTTTGCGATTCCTCTCGAAATGCTCTAGATGCTTTCACTCGAAAATGACCCGCTTCATAGAAAATTATGTTCTAGATACTGTACTCTACTGCAACTTTAAAGAATAAGGGGAATATTTTGATGGGCATTCATCACAAGATAGTGACAGGGCGTTAAAAAATTTTTGTAAGCATCTAACGAGCTCCAGGTTAAATCTCATGGCGTGATTAACAGAAGGCACCAAGAGTTGATGTTTGAAAGAAAGTATCAATAAACAGAACTCACCAATCATGAGGTAGATGGCTTGTTGGCGGTATATTCGATCGTACAATCGCCGATGTCCAATTAAAATATATCTGCAACGCAAAAGCTTAACGTTTTCATGCGAGACAATGATGTTCTTGTAGTATTATCAGTAATACGGTGTATGTTAATACAGAACTACTAAGTACCTGAAATATACACGATAGTACGACTAAATGATTTCGGAAAAGTTATATCATTGTATCAGATTCGGTACTTATTGTAGAGGCTTGTGTAGAATGAGTGACTTGCTTAGGTGAGCGGCAAACCAATTACTTAACGGTTACCACAATGTTATGACCGAACTCATTAAGAATTTTACTATTTACCGATTAATGGTAATGGCTGTGATGGACAGAAGAGACAGGCCGACATTCATATACCGGAAAAATGGAAACAGCCGACAAAGGAAATCGCCATGTATCCATTCACGATGAAAGAAGCGTGATGCAGCGAAGGGCATGTTCACCGCAGAGAACATGAGATCAGCAAGCGACAATGACACGATAAATAAGTTCGATGCATTTTTCCGCAGCTACGAAAAATAACAATAGTTACAACAATAACGAATAAAAAGTTAGTCTAAGTTAAGCCGACCAAAAGCTGCAATGTCTGTTGTTTAGAAGGCAATCGAAACAACCGAAAATGCTTTACTTTAATTAACGCCTCTGTTTGAGGCATTGACTGAGGTATAAAATCGCACACTCCTTTTTTTTATTATTTAACATGTTTACGTATAATAGATTTTTTTTACAAGTGCGAATATCCGCCCATCTTGGGAGCAGCGATCACGAATATCCGTAGAAAGAGCGCTGACACGCATTGACGCACTTTTGTGTCGATTAATAAATACTAATTTAGTAGTAGTAGTGTTTGGCGAGACTTCAGAGCTGAAGGGAGTCTAAGGAACTCTAAGTCAAGCATTGGCCACGAATAGAGAATAAGAATTTGTAAGGAGGTATTTGTACTATGCAAAGCCATTTAGCGAGAAGTATGAGATTTTTATTTTGCACTTAGTTAAAAATTCTAGTTCCTCTTTTTTTATTAGTAAACACATCTGCTATCCATATATGCACGGTCCTACTACCTGTAAACCTAAATCATTATCAATACCTTCAATTGCCGCCATTATCGCACTTTGTTTTTGAAAACTTTCATTTTATTCACTGTTTTACGGAATAAGGTTCTTTAAAAGCTTCACCTGACGCTTCCTATATGTACCAAGTCATGTGCAAGACCCATAAATGATCCATTGACAGACGGCATGATAATGTGTATCAGCAGTAAATTTGGTGCTCCATAAATACAAAATCTGCAATGAATGACGTCTGATTCCCTGTGATATAGACATAGATTCTACTCGTGGTAAATTTTCTCATATGAGCGGAACGGACACAGCCCATTGTTTTCGTCTAACATTACAAGACGTCATTTTTACACATACTTTTTGAACATAGTGTTTAGCATCCAATTGCAGGAAGATTCTGTATTCCGACGTATATATATTTCTATAACCCGCAAATAAGGTAATCTCAGTCATCAACCAGCCTCGGGACAAAGTCTCGTATGTTCGTCATAGTAAAATTCCAATAAATATGTTTTCGAAACGCTGCCTTATATTTCAGAAGTGTTGCTGTGGCATTTTCCGCAGGACTGCGGTATCCAGTTTTTGTGGTCCTATTCTGCCTCATTCTGCACAAGTTCGTACCAAGGAAGGCCCAGATAGGTGAACTTAGAGTATACACCTAATGTATATATAGACCACGTGGCGTGCCTAAATCGACAATTTTCCTTTCTTATCTTTCGCTTCTAAAACTGTATCTAGCAAAAACAGATATTTCAATGAAATGTGCTCTTTGCATATACTCATATAGGATCGTTTCTTTTCACCTTCAGATGGCAGCTTCAATGATAGAGAGTGTTTGTCCTGCTCCTTACAGGCATAGCGGGGTGATTCGACAACTTTTTCTATTTCAGTCGAAAGCAGACCAATTATTTTTTATTGTCCGACATATCTATTTTTGGAGCTAAAAGTTAAAGGAAAAAATTAAAGTTTTTTTCACAAGCGTTGAACTATCAGTTTCCTAAAGAGTGGAAAAAAACCTTTCCCAGAAAAAAAATAAAGAAAATTCGATGAAATTGCGATGGGACGATTAAGACTCAGACTGCAAGACCAAAAACGGCTGGTTGTGCCCAACCAAGCATCTGGCGCTATTGAGATGCTGTTCTAATGTTGAAGAACTAAAGTTATTTTAAGAGACAATTCCGTTTCTTACAATCTTTAGCGAAGGACTAATGTGAAACTATTAAACAGACGCATGAATAAAGACAACATAAAAACAATTAGCCCCACTGCTCGTTAAACGTAACTCTAGAACATTTTTCCAGATTTAATAGATAAACACCTAGAACGCATTTATATGAACTAAAAGAAGCCCACATAGCGTAAAACCAAGAACAAATTGCCGATCTAAAACGTGTGCGTAGACCATACAGTCCTGAATTAAGTATTCTTCTCGAATTAGAAGTTTGGAAGTGTACCTACAGGCGAACGACAAATCATACTACTTTCCTTAACCTTTAGGATAAGAAATTAAAGCAAATTCACTCACTTTATACCAGAAATTTAGTAAAAACAAATGATGCACAATAAACAATAGAACAGATATTGCGTTTACAATATAACCAGAGAGTGATAAAAATTATTTTTTAGCGGACTTTCTGCGTGGTGACATCAAGCGGTTACATTACTGCCATCCAGATCAAAACTGGATTTCTTATAGTAAGAATTATTTTTTATGTTAGTAAATCAATTGTCGAAACCGATATTTCGTCATCGCCCGCTTTTTCGGCGCTCGAGTTAACAACTACCTTAGCAATTTCAACACAGGACTTGTCATTTAATTATACAATGCCCTAGCTTGCAATTTGTCTTGGTCCAAGCGTACTATTACAAATTGTGCGGGCAATTGCCTTGTGTAATTAATTAAGGCTTATGCTCAATGATTAGTTAACAGAAAAAAGCGATACAACTGATGCGATGATACTATTTTTTCCATCGCACTGTTCTGCTATTGTAGATTATAATTCTTGTTAAACAAAAACTCTAATAGAAACGTCCAGATTTCAACGAGCGGTTCCAAACCCTTATATTCAGTTTGAGCCATTCTCATAGAACCTGCTACGTATAATACGTACCAGAAGATACCTCAACTGATAGTACACCCAGGTGCGAACTCCTGTCGTATTTGGGGTGGAATTATTAGGGCGTCAACTGAAAAAGCTGATTTGATAAATTATTTTTTATTCATTCGTTCATGGAAATGATTAGCATTTTCACAGGAACTCCTAATCCACTAAGCCTTGGTATTCGGCAACAAATCAACGCTTTTATATTTGAAGTTTAAATATATTAAATCTATATACGGTCGGCTTATGTTTTCTGCTAGAGCTTAATTAGATTCTGCCAGTGTTAATTACCTTGTCATTTTACAACTCGTTTCTATTGTCATGATAAAACCACTATTATTTCAACGTGCAAAGTTGTACAGTTTTCTGAATCTACTAAAAACAGAAGAAAAAGTAATTTTCATGGAATGAATGCTTTGAAAATGAATAAGTATTCATTTTAAAGTCGAACCTATTTACAAAACAAACCTAGTGCATCCCATAGTACAACCTCGTAGCCGACGGCCAAGGATCAACAACGCTGGACGCCTGGCACTATATTTTAGGTTCCGGCTTTTTTCCTTGCTCATTTTTTAGCATCTTAGATTAGTTTGGATGTCCCTTCTACTCCTATGTGTTAGTGGACTTATTTAGGTTTTCTCCAATAGACCAATATGATATCTCGACCTGGAGAAAGTTCAATGTCTGCGTTCGACGTCACGTTGCCTCGAGAACGACTGATAACAACTGAAAGTAGCCTTCAATCGTTCTCGAGGCAAAGCCGCAGTCGCTCTAAATTTATAGCAATTCAATTTAGTCAGAATTCCTCACTAGCGATTTAGATGTCACCGTAGCCCGGCCTGCACGCTGAGCGTACAAGTATGTATTTCGACTTAATCGAAGATGCTGCCGTAATTTAAACTATGGGCCCTTATCTCAATTCATGAAGTGGGCAATAAATAACAAATATCCCTCTTTTCACTGGTAACGTGCACAAAGGTGGGCGCTTCAACTATCAAAGGTAATACTTACCAATTAAGGGCAAACTATGTATATATCCGCAACCTTGTTCTATGATAGGCAGTAAACGGTAAAAACTCGCCCACATTTTTTTAGAATATGGATAAGACATGGCATTTGCCTTAAACATGGATGTTGTTTTTGTAAGCATTGTTAAGGAAGGATACGTTAAGCTTCCACGCCAGTGATTTTTATAGGCCGAATGGTAAAAGATCGGCTAGAAAAAAAACACGGTTTCCGTTTTACCATTATCTCTATTTTATTATTAGTCCTGAGCACAATTAGGACAAAACGAAAAGAATAAAATTTTGAGGAAGCGGTATGGTGAGATATATGTAGTAATAATTGAGTATTTTGGGATATCATAATTCCGCGTTCCAACAAAATTTTAGCTTTATAGAAACTGCGGAAGCAATGAAAGAAAACCGAAAAACGATACATTGGGCGTTTGGAAGGAGTGGACTTATCGAATTCTGCTAATTAAAAAGACGGATAACAAAATGCCATTGGTTGTGTCAATGGATTTTTTACAGCTAACAAATGAACGATTTGTTGAACTGGGGTACTAGCGAATACTCTTAACGGCTGAAAAAAGAAATAGTTACGTTTATAATGAACAAGAGCAGATTAAAGGGGAACGAGTGTATGAAATGAAGATACCATATAGCGAAAACCCCTCATAGCAGAAAGAAAGGTGTACGCCTTCTGCGGCTCAGCTTTCTGGGCGGATTTTTCAATGAACATACTTCTCTGAAAATCTGCACAATAATACACAAGTATAAATATACTTTTTTGAGATACGGATACATATAAATATAAGATTTGTATGCTTCTGTATAGAAAATGTAGGAAGAGTTTCTAGTATATATTAAACTGGAACTTGTCTCGTCGAAATAAAAAACACAACTCGCTCGAACTTTAACAACTTATTAATGTATTATGTATTGACCGTGACTCTCTAAACGCCCTCATCCATGCCAACTCTTTGATATAATGCTTCCTGTTAGCAATTTTCTGGCTTGTTCTCGAAGATATAATCTACTTAAGTTTTGAGGGACTCTCTATATTCAAATGTACGGTTACTTACTTAATTCGCCAGTAATTGGAGAAGGTGTAAAAAAGGTCTCAATGATAAAGTAATTGCAAAGAAAATTTTTCTCTGAAGTCCTTGCAGGGCGACCTTGGCACACCTTGTCATTTGTGGCCTGGCATTGTCCTTAGATCTTTTCTACTTCATTCAGTTGATGTAAGTGCGTTTTATGCATATCCTTATTGATCGGGCGTATCGTACTGTTTAAAACTTTTCCGGTCTAACTGGATGGAAATCATTTTCTTTTTGGCATGGAA